CCTCAACAGACATGACGTCACGCTAAATTGGCTCCAAGTTTTGTGAAGTAGGTAGGGTAACTTCATCTATTTTCGGCCATTTAAGCGAATTGCCTTCTAACAGATGGCATTTAGCACGGAAGGTTTATTTTTGAATGACAGTAATTTAAACATTTTTATTACACACTTTTTTCTTTTTTTTTATTTATTTTTAGCTTAACTTGTATGTTTGTTTGTAACCGACTCCTTTGGGCGTGATTTTGACTGACTTTAAACGGTCAGAATTCGTTTAAACTTTGTAGATATAAACTAAAAAAACACGCTTTTTATAGAAAACGCCGACAAACTTTTTGAGCTGACAAACTAAAAAAATGCTAATCTTTTTATTACCTTTATTTGCAAATCTTATGTTTAAATTTGTAAAAATTAGTGTTTTTGAAAGTGGCTATTTAATCTGTTTTTATGGTCTAGGGGAGGCAATATAGTATATCCGTGGGGTGACAGATTAAGAATGCAGAGTGTCACCACCCCTGTTGGTGGGTATCGTAAGAGACTAAGGACAGGACAATAGCACTGCAGAGAGAAGGAAAACTTGGAGACAGGAGAGAATAGTATAGTAGGCCAAAACCTCCTTACTAAGGAGAGGCCTATGTCCAGCAGTGGACTATTAAAAGCTTTTGATGTGATGATGTGATGTGACACAAAAATAAAAACCTGAATCAAAAACTTTATTCCCAGAACAATAAAGACGAATATAATTTTAGCCTCTAATTAGATTTCTGAGAAAATCTTCAACAAATGTAGTTTATTTAAGTAAGGTGTAAAAATAGCCAGTTTTAATCATGTGTACACTGTTATAAATAAAAAGTTGATGAGCAAAAAGTATTTATAAACTAGATTAATATTTAGGAGGAGTACTTAAATTTGATTAAGGAAGAAAATATTCCAAGGCTACATACACTTACGCCTACATATCCGAAGTCATTACAGTGCCAAGCATAATTTTAGTCTTACTTACGTAATAGCTTAACCGAGCTTTTTAGGGCTTAGATGGGAAAATTTGACGTTTAATTAAACGTGGGAAAGCTATGGCGCAAATGAGCAAGCTCGACCAAGGTGATACCACAACCTCACAGAAAAGCGGTGTTAAGGAACTCTTCCGTTGCTTTTTATCGAGTGAGTAAGGTTACCAGAGCCTCAACCCCCCCCCCCCCCCTCCCCTCCCCATAGAAGGGAGAGGCGGTAGTAACTTACCATCATGTGACCGTCTGCTCGTTTGCTCTCCGTCGGTAATATCCATACTAGTTCTTACTAATATTATAAATGCGAAAGTGTGTCTGTCTGTCTATCTGTTACCTCTACACGCTTAAACCGCTGAACCGATTTACATGAAATTTTCTATAAAGATCGTCGGAGTCCGAGAGGACATAGGGTAGTTTCTATCCCAGAAATCATCCTTTAATGGGGTGAAAAGGGGGGTCAATCAATAATTGCTGAAGCGATTTAGTTAAAATTTCGTATGGAGATACTTTGATTCTTGAGGAAAGACATAGGCTTAACGCGATAACCGACATTTACGCGGGCGGAGCTGCGGGTAAAAGGTAGTGTTAATATAAAAGTGTGTCGGAATGTAATTATTCTTCAGAAATAAATTATAATCGCTTGAGATGTTGTTTCATTAACAGAAACATCCCTTTAAACAGTTCGACCGCGGTTCGTCAAGCATTTTCACATTGCCTTGGTGGAAAAATACGTACACACATTAGATTCTCAACAAATGTATTTTCTATAGCTGCTTAAATAAATAATTAAAAAAAAAAACTAAAGAGGTCCGTGTGGTGACTGATTAAGAATACGGAATGTCACTACCCCTATTCATCCCGTGGGTGTCGTAAGAGCCGACTCAGGCAGCAAACTACACAGGACAACAGCACTGCAAAGAGAAGGAAAACTTGACACAAACCCTATACCAACCCGTCTGGCCAGCGTGGTATAGTAGGCCAAAACCTCCTTTCTATGGAGAGGTATACGTCCAGCAGTGGGCTGTTGATGTGATGATGTGATGTGAAAGAAGATCCCCACAAGATTGCACGGATGCCGGTTTTACTTAAAGCGTCAAAAAATAATATCAATCAATCAATCAATCAATCAATCATTTATTTCGTATAAATTTTCGTATAAATTAATAATTTTATCTATCAGCAACCATCGTTTAAGACCGATCAACTAACACCAATTAGTTTCTAGGAATGATGAAAACCTCAGTACTTCTACAGATATCCGGTCTGGCGTCCGGCCGTGTGTCCGGCGTCAATCCGGGCTGAATAGCAGCGTGTTACGCGGTAACCGCACGTGGGGGCGCCACTCGCCCAACACGCGCACTCTCTCGGAAGTACATTATTATAGATCAATTAGCACGGTTTGTTATAAAAATATATTCCCTTTTATGACACAGGCTGCAAATCAGGCGGGTCATCACATCACATCACATCAACAGCCTGTAACAGTCCACTGCTGGACATAGGCCTCTCCTTAGAAAGGAGGTTTTGGCCTACTATACCACGCGGGCCAGACGGGTTGGTACAGGATTTGTTTCAAGTTTTCCTTCTCCTTGCAGTGCTGTTGTCCTGCGGGTCCAGGCAGGTCAAGTAATGTAAAACTCCTACCGCTAAGCGCACCTGCAACTCAGGAAGCGCACGGGTGCGTTGCCAGATTTTTAAGGTGGGGGTACACTGTTTTCTTAATGGCTTGAGGTTTTTTTTCATTTATTTAAAAATAAATTTAAGTTTTCAGAAATAAATTTTCAGTGAATTCATAAAAAAAAACTTTTACTATTTAATCAAATAACTCAAGTCTGTCTTAAAGAGGTTAAAACTAAGAAGGCTATAAAAAGCTCTTCAATTTTATTTGAAGTATTTGAAGTAAGGGTTATCGTTTGCGGTATTTCGACCTTCAACCTTCAAGAAAAGAGCGTACTCCTTCCTAAAAGGCCGGCAACGCGTTTGTGACTCCAGAGTTGCAGACGTTCACGGGCGGCGATGGTCACTTTCCATCAGGAGAAAGACCTGCTCGTTTAACTTTAAAAAATAAGAATAATGACAGAATATCACGTTTCTCATAACAACTGACACTCTATATATTTTTTTCTTTTTATATCTTTACGCCCTTTTGTACGGCGGGCGGACTTAATGCCCAAGGCATTATCTTCCAGTCAACCTTTACATGATGTAGAAATCATGAGTAGGTAAGCGCATTACACATAGGTTACAATACTAATACCTAAAATATTTGACTGCACGGATGGCGCAGTGGTTTAAGCGGTCGCCACGCCGCCTCCTACTACGCTGAGTGTTGTGGGTCCGATCCCCACATGGGGCGACACTTTGTGTGATCCACAAATTGTTGTTCTGAGTCTGGGTGTTCTTTGTGTCCGTTTCATGTATGTTTGTAAAGTTCCCCGCGACACAGGATATATTCCTAATGCGGGAGTTGTCTTTTTTAATAAAAAAAAAAAAAATATTGGCACTTAACTAAACTTATCAATCATGGAAAATGTTGTATTGTAAATAATATGTAAGTACATCTGTATTTAACTACTATTTAATGTACGTTTTGCAATTTATAAGTGATAATAGAAACAACTCTCTTTTAAATAGAAAGTTTTGTAGGGTACTTCAAGAAGTAAAATCTTTTTTTTTTTATGGTATGAGGGGGTAAACGAGCAGACGGGTCACCTGATGGTAAGCAACTACCGCCGCCCATGGACACCTTGCAGCTCGAAAGTCACAAGTGCGTTGCTGCCCTTGGAGTCCCTCCCGCTCCAGTCAGCGGGATGGGGGATTTGGGCTCCGGTAACCTCACTCACTCAGTGAAAGGAAACGAAAGAATTGCTTAACACCGGTTTTCTGTGAGGCCGTGGTATCACTTCGGTCGAGATGGCCCATTCGTGCCGAAGCATAGCTCTGCCTCTATTAATGAAAGATTTAAAGATTTTACTCTATTACCACCACATTTTGGAGGTGCCCGATTAATTTCACACCAAATAGAGAGTCTTTATCAAAGGGTAATGTAAACTATGGCTGTCTGCTTAGAGTGGCACATGCAACCAACGCGCTAGGAGATTCACCTCCTGATAAAGGGCTACTGACATACACCTTTTGTTAACATAATGCAGAAACAATTAAGGATCATATATAAATCATACATAACTAAGAAAGAAATATATAAAAATATTAATTTATTATAATTTTAATGTCCCACGAGAATGAAAATTAAAAACAATACCCTGCAATAATATTTCCCTCGCTGTAATCCTGCACTTAACTACCAACACAGAACATTTCGCAGTTAATCCTTGCATCGTCCCACGCTCGAACCCCGGACTTCCCCTCTGCATTCACACCAATATTCAGCGAATAAATTGCGTTACCTAATTGTCTATCGTTTCCCACCGTGTGCCGGCCACGCGGCACCGCTACTCACTATGTAATACACCCTTAGCAACATTTACGAACTAATATCTACTCTGCCACGATCAATACAAGGGTGCTTTTTCTATAAATTTATCATAACAATAAGTTCTATGAACCTTAATATCTCTATGTGACTAACAAAATCACTTCGAACAACACTCGTTCTTAAAAAATAAAATTCAAAATCATTCGACAAAACTGCATTATTATAATTGTCAAACGAATAAATATACCATTATATTTAACTCGTAATGTAACATTTATCTCGTTAAGCATAAAGTCGAAACTTCAATGTCGCGCTGTTAGAAAAATGTAAGTTGTAAATAAGGTAGGGTCGCCATAGGGCGCAGCGTGTGTAAGGGCGGTGGCACACGGGGCGGCACGCGGCCACACTCCGTGGCGGTCGACCAACGCGTGCGCACGTGTGCTCTGCGCGCGATACCAAGACCTAGATAAGTGACTGAAAGAGAATACAAAGTGGAAATCATTAGTGAAAACTGTAATAAAATTAAAGTGATTTTTCCAAATTAAAAACATTTTTTAGTGATAATGGAATACCATCATAGGCATATGGAACAGACAGGTCCTGGCCTCCAGAGCCAGGGTCCTCAGTGGGGATATGGATGGGGACCTCCAGCGCCAGCGCCGGCAGCACCTGCGCCTGCGCAGCGCAATAAGAGAACGCACTCGGAGAGTGAGGACGATGCGTTTTCTGAAGAAAGCTCTAAAGATGCGCAGTGAGTATGACTAGAAACATACTAAATATTTTTATCTCCCTTATCTTTACTGTGAGAAAGTGTATCGTAGTGTGTTGTAGTACCTCACGCACGAGTTAATTAGATAAGCATCTATCAAAAGTAGTATTTATATTTAAAAACATATTGCTTATAAGATTCCAATAAGAACGAAAAGATCTCTAAAAATAGTTCTTCAAATCAGTTTAAGTGAAACTAAGCATTTAAATTTTTAACATACATTATGCAATACTCTAGCATATAGAAACAACAATTTCCTTCATATATTCATCTTCTCCTGAAATAAAAAAAAATACAATTATTACAGGGAAATTAAAAAAAAAGCTTTTAGAACGCTATTGTTTGTTCGTAAACCTACCATAGATAATAAATTATTCAAAAAAAATGCTCATGAAAATAATTTATTGTGACATCAACGAGATAAGCATATAAAATTATATATTAAGTAAATTCTACATCTACTGAATGAATATTTAAGAAGAATCCTTTGTATCTACGCATTTTTAACGCCCAGTACTGTGACATTTGGAACTAAAGAGTTCCAAAACTTTAAGTTAAGGACTTATCTAAACCCAAAACGACTTTTTAAAATTATGAGAGTCCAATGAATATGTTGAACAATCATAATTAAAAAGTGTATACAATGATAGTTCAAGTTATACTGGTCATACGTGACATTCAAAACGGTCACCAGGGCATCTCTAGCTTACATATACATAACTGCGTATACAATGAGTCACCGTACTACGCACCTTACACACTAGGGGCGGGTGTAGACGTGCTACGCAGCTAATTGAATGCACTTTTACCATAAACAATTAAGTATATTTTAAGAAATTCTGTTTAATAATTAAACTATTGTTTATTATTATACATTATGAGTATTGACTGCATGATTATTGGCAGTTCGATTAGATTTGATTCGATTTTCGTAAATTTTCCTGAGTCTGTGTGTTGTTTGCGTCCGTTTTAAAATATATAAACAAAAGCAATCTCTAATGCAAGATTTAACTAAAATAATATTTTAAATGAATCAGTAAATATGTATACACTTATCAACCACATATTGCCTAAATCTTAATTGGATTTTATAGAAAAAATTCTTTTAGCAAGTTGCATTCCTAATATGATCATACAAAACCATATTAGAATTGCAAGATGTGTACGCTCATTTTGTTTAATGTACTGTTTCTCAGAAAAAAAATATTATTATTTTGTAGGATACTTCTTACAATAGAATAATTAAAAAATTACAGAATTTAATTCTTTAAATTTTTGTATTACTGCGAATAAACTTAAATTTCAGCTTAACTAGAATTATACCCTCCTAAATAACAAAGAATTTTCAAATCGGTTCATAAGTGACAGAAAACTTTCTCCATTTATCGAAGTTTGTTAAAAATATAAAGAATTGGATTTCATTACACTCTATTCTACATGTATTTTCAGTATTGTTTTTCATAACAATTGTCTAAATAAACAAAATGCTTGAACAAACATTTACAGTAAGCAACTTAACACAAACCCACTACACATACATCACCAATCCTGTTTGTGGGCTGTCACTCCAAGTCTCTTGACTTTGACCTTTACGTTAGTCCAAAGTCCAAAGAAAATACACACTCACATATAAATCTACCTCCAAGGTCACAACGAAGTAAACAGCACTTACAAAAACCAGGAATGATCTTCCTAATATAAATTAATACCGAGGGACGAATGTTTCCTTATGAAGATACTAGCTGATACCGGCGACTTCGTCCGCGTGGTGGTCATTATTTCTGACGGAGAATATAATTATACTAAGAGTTTAGAATCGATAAGAATAGTTCCCCATCCAAACTTGCACTTTTTAAGGGTAGTTTTAAAAAATTAGTTACAACGGTTTTTATTACTTTTAATAAAGAGTATTCACTGTAAGTTTGAAAACGCAACTTACAACAAAAAAACGAAGTTTCATATGACCAAGACCATGTCGTAGGGCTTGCAGACATAGCGCATATACTCCTTCACAACTCCAATCTCACTATAAACACAAACATACATAAACACACACACACACACCCTGTTTTTGTTAATGTTACAATTATTACTACTCCCGCTCGTTTCTGTTTCATTTTTTTTTCTTAAATTTTGTACTCTTGCACAACTATATTGTAACCACCTCACAAAGGTATTTTGAAATGTCAAGACGAGGTTCAAGTGAGGACCTGGTGTCCTGTAACACAGGTTTTTATACCTACCTCAGGCACCAGCTATCCACTACCGAAATTGTCAAATGTTATAGCGTAATCGTATTTTCATTGTATGCATTTTGGTTTTTGTGAGAAAATAAACGATATTATTATTATTATATAAATTTCCAAACACCACTTTGCACCCTTAGTGGTTGTATGTTTACGAATCCTTTCTTCGTGCAAACCTACGTCATCTAAGAATCATTTGAGCAAAATTTCATGCTTCTAGACCCAGCGATTTCAGCATTGCGTTGATCGATCAATCAGTGAATCACTCTGTCAGTTTATTCTTTATAGATGTAGGTTATGTCACATCTTGGGGGCTTGTAAGTTTGGAAAGCCATGGTCCGGTACATGTGGGCTCAACCGTAGTGATAATATGGGTTCACAGAAAACGAATGATAAGATTTTCTGTCGTTGCTTTTCATCGAATAAGTGGTGTGAAGACCAAAACCTCTCCTAAGTCTGGAGGGCAGTAGTCAAAAAGTGGCAACTCTTGTACCTACTACATATAAAAGGTTCTTCAAATTGGGTTCTCAAACGATTTCTATAACGTAGTTAATGGTGCTCCTTTTCACTCCTTTTCACTTTTCACTAAAACTTTTCAGATCTCCCGGTGGTGACTCGTGCCAGCTGATGACCCGCAAGAGACGTCGTGGTGTGATTGAGAAGAAGCGTCGTGACAGAATAAACACATCACTAACAGAACTGAAGAGGCTGGTACCAGCTGCGTGTGAGAAGCAAGGCAGCGCTAAACTCGAGAAGGCAGAAATCCTGCAGTTGACCGTTGATCATCTTAAAATGCTGCATGCTAAAGGTTGGTTTTCTCTCTCTTTCTCTCTGTATACTACTGAACGGTTGGAGTATAGTTGAGTTCAACTTAATAGGGTACTAGTAGACATTAGATACGTCTTCCTACTATCATAACAATGTTTATTACTCAATAGCGGCTGAACGAATCTGGGTGAATTTTCGCTAGTTTTTATCAAATCGATATAAACGCGAATGAAGTCGCGAGCAAAAGCTAACAATGTATATTATCGTAATTGTAACAGTAATACGTTGTAATAAGATTTTATGATAACACTTACACGGTTTTCATAAGGTTCTAATTCATATTATCTGTAGTTTTGTTTTGAGCATCAGACCGATTGGAAATATCAGTGTCGTTGAAAGTATTTTTGTTCATCATCATCATCATCATCAACAGCCTTTAATAGTCCACTGCTGGACATAAGCCTCTCATGAGAAAGGAGGTTTTGGCCTACTATACCACGCTGGCCAGACGGGTTGGTAAAGGGTTTGTGTCAAGTTTTCCTTCTCTCTGCAGTGCTGTTGTCCTGCTTAGTTTTTTCCCCTTAGTCGGCTCTTACGACACCCACGGGATTGACCCGGTGGGTGGTGACACTCTGTATTCTTAATCCGTCACCACACGGACCTTGTTAGAACTAATACAATATAATATATGTATCTCACACATCTCACACACGGCCGTCTGATCCCAAACTAGGCAGATCCTGTACTATGGTAACCAGACTGCTGATAAACATATTTATATGTTTTTTTAAATAGATACATATTGTAGATAAATTACACCCAGACACAGAACAAATGATTGTGCTCATTACACAATATTTGTCCTGGGTGGGAATCGAACACACGACCTCCGGTTTAGCAGTCAGGGTCACTAACCACTAGACCAACAGGCCTAGTTCCTAAGAGGCGGATGTCCAATCCGTAGCAAGTTTTTAAGATTCGAATCATGTTAAAATCTATTCCCGAAAGGTTATTGGAGCGATGCCAAGGTCTTTACAGAGATTGTTTTCAAAAGACTGCAATAAAGGAACTCGATCGATAAAGTAAATTACTATCAAACAAGGGGAATTAACTTCCGATTTCTAAAAAATACCGATCCGTAACCTTCGAAAACGCTACGTAACGGAAGAATAAACAGTTGGCAACTCATCCTCTACAAGGACACACGGGGATCGAGGAAATATGACTTTGAAACAATTTTTTTATTGATATTTGATAAATAGAGTAGGAATGACATCAAATCTGTATTACTGCACGGATGGCGTAGTGTTTTAAGTGGTCGCCACGCCGCTTCACTGGCGTGAGTGTTGTGGGTTCAAACCTCACATGGGACGACACCTTGTGTGATCAACAAATTGTTGTTCTTAGTCTGGGTGTTCTTTGTGTCCGTTTCGTGGATGTTTGTAAAGTCCCCCACGACACAGGAATATTTATTCGTAACGCGGGCGTTGTCTTTAAAAAAAAACATGTCACGAATATTTGAACGCCAGCTACTCAATATAAAATGGTAAGTTCTGGTTAGTTAATTGCTAATCAAAGCGGTTATGTATATGAAAGAAGAAGGCAAAAATATATCACTCGTTGCAGCTAGTAAAAAAATAGCTTTTAGTCACGTTCACGTTTGAATCTATACGTTTAAATATCATTTCTTATAATTATGGGTGTCAGAAATATCGACACACTACATTTCCTATGAAATTATGGTTTTTAACATCGTCAATCACATCCACATAGAGGTAAATACATATAATTAATACAAGTTTATGATAAAAGTATTAAAAAATACCGGTTATGATTTCTTTTGCTTCCTTGCTTTTTACTAACCGACTGCAATATATACGGGTAAGTTTTCTTATCTATTTACAAAATGTCTATACCAATTACATTTCGTTACAAAAAACCGTTTAATGAAAACGGTATTTCTATTCAATAATATGACATTGGCAAGTATTTGAGGATGTGCTTAAATGTGTATTCCAAGGGATTTTTGCCTCGAACTGCGTATCCTGTTATACACAACAATTAATCTTTAAGAAACCTGTTTCATTTCCGTTTCCTCCGCATTGATAGTTAAGCCCGTAACGGTATATGTCTAAAAACATTTAAAAGTAACATTAAAAAGCAAAAGTTGTGCCATTCGAGGATCTTTTCCTGTCTTTTGTTATGGAACAGGTATTTTATTAATTGTCGATACTTTGTGATTGTGACGTCACACATAGAGTGAAACAACGGACACAAAAGAACGCACCCTCATTCACTATTACTATTCACATTTGTCAGCTACATTTTTAACAGGTTACTTTATACCGCGATAACCGACATACACGCGGGCGGAGCCGCGGGCAAAAGCTGTTATTGTTGCTAAGCTAGTTTTTTTTTTTTATTATTTTAAAAAAGACAACTCCCGCATTAGGAATATATACAAACATCCATAAAACGGACACAAAGAACACCCAGACTCAGAACAACAATTTGTGGATCACACAAAGTGTCGTCCCATGTGGGGTTTGAACCCACAACACTCGGCGCAGTAGGAAGCGGCGTGGCGACCGCTTAAACCACTGCGCCATACACTGTGCAATCAATGAAAGTTGGTTTAACCAGTTAAATTTTGTCAAACTGTGATTTAGATTTACAAAAAAGAAACCTTATTTTTTGAGTGTGAAAATAAACGGTATTATAATTTGCTAATAAGCTATAAGTGATCATTATTGATTATATAGAAATCTTTAAGTTAAAATTTTAAATGAATAACTAATTTCATGGTCTTTTATGTCGATGAAGATTGTATAAATTGATATAGGAAAACTATTTTTATTTATTTAATTTGGAACTATTGCCTGCAGCGTTATAAACTACTTGACAATTGTCTAAAACACGTAGTATGACGGAAAACATAAAAGAACTCCGGAAGTGCCGACAGAAGTGAAAACTTCTTTTTTTTTTATTATAACGGCAATTTTTATGTTCTTTGCATATATACCAATGTTTTACGGATATACACAATATATCTTTATATTATATATAGTTGTATTATCAATGTATGTAAACCTAAACTCAACTCTCGTGTAAACGGGGGGAGTATATGTAGATACTTATATACAGAGGTGTCGGTAACGGTAACAGTGTCGCGAGATCAATGGTTTTTTCCCCATCTCAAAAAATACATTATTTTGTTTGTAGTTCAATAATGCCCAACACGCCTACAGAAGTTTTCACTTCAAAAATAAAAAAATAACTAAATGCCGCCACATTGCTTACTTACCAAACATACAAATAAACAATATCAGCTGTGACATCATCACCCTTATCAACTCATCGCAAACGTCCTTCCGCGTTCCCACGCCTGGCTTCCGGGTCCACAGGGACACACGGACCCGCACTGTTCGGGACCACGACAGGTGGACCACAGCCCAACGCTTTTTGTGCTCCATTGTAAATGATACTGTTCCCTCAGACGAGGTTTAAATGCTTTTTGATTGAGTTCTGTTTGGATTTTGACTTTACTTAACATGTTTGAGTTAGTTATACCTGCTAAGGAATTTTATAAAAAGCAATTGTTATTATATTGAACATTTTCCCACTGGGTTTTTTATGTATATGCCTTAAAACTGTTTGAATGTAAAAGAAAACATAGGCCAGTGGTCTACCTGCCCTAGTGGTTTCTCTAATTCTTTTATTTCTTTCTTTTCGTTTTCTTTTTTTTAAAAGACAACTCCGTATATTTCCGGAAGGGGGGGGGGGGGGGCTTTACACCAACTTTCGTCATGACCTCTTCGGCCTACTCTAGTCTTAGTCTAATTTTACATTTGAGGCTCGTGGTATTCACTAATCCAATTAACCCGCCTTATCATTTTTTCTTATCCCAGTTTACTTAATTTTTTCTAGGGATTGATTAAAATTAAAATTAACTGTGATAAATCATTTGACGTAAAAATATAATCACACCGGTTACTTCTCCACGAAATCACTGTGACTTACGCTGGTGCCATACTTTACGCTTGATTAAAAGAAAATTCAATATACTCGTTTATTCTTTGCTTAAGTATTGATGGCATAGATATTTGTCTATGATCAAATCACAGTAGTGATTTATTACAGAGACAAAAATAAACCATTTCATCAAATGAATATGATTTAAAAATAGCAATAGTTTCCATTACTAATTTCTTCGTATCGTCTGAAATTGAAAACATTACCAAGGGTTGGCGTTAAGTAGCCAAAGTCCATTACAATGTTACAACTTAACCTGACCCTTTATAAAATTGGGAAAAGCGAAATGTAACAACCAACAATTTTAATTATTATACTATAACATTTTGATATAATTTAACTACTTAGGTTTTCGTAATAAATATTACTTTCATTTATAAAAGTTTCAGAAATCAGGCAAACAACAAAACATAAACGACGGCACTTATCATAAATATTCACCCCTCTACGCTTCGGCTAATATAATTAAAACTTGCCGGACACAATAATAATTCTCATCCGGATACACAGTTTCAATTCCGGAAAGATCCCAACCGAATTGTGGTTAAACTCCAATCAATTACAGTTGGACGCGGACAGTTAAACTTAAAAAGTAGTTCTTCAGAATGTCCATGTATGTTCAGAGTACGAAAAACCGCATCCTCGCCAGTTTCCGGCTGCAACGGGCCGTTTGTGGCCACTTGCCCGATGGACCCATTCGTCTGCTTAAAGGTCATTGTCGAGTACAACCGGAACTAAGTTAACGTTTGGTAATACTTTATACAATGGAAAATATTTTTCCTTTTTTGAATGTCAAAAGGAAACAATTATTGACGATGAAAAATAAAAAAAGAATAACTTAGAACATTACAACACTAAAATTCTTCAATAACTTCTATACAAAATAAACAAACGGTCGAGTGTTACAATAGTTGACATGTCACCAAAATAAATTAAATCAAATAGTCAGCGTTTTCCGGCCTTGATGTTACACACTTCCGTCCATGAAAAGTACGAAATCACGCCCAT